CATGGGAAAGAAAATAGCTCTTGAAGAAAATTCCAACCTTTGCATGTGCATCTTTGGTGCAACAGATATTTATCTGGTGGCCAGGGTGTGCTACACAGGAAGTCAATGGGAATAGGGGAAAGAAGGTGGGTATTTAGGCAAACTCTGGAATCCAGAGGCAGAACACTGAACCCAGCCTGAATTTCCAATGGATCTTGCAGATTGGAGACGACATCTTTCTTCTCTCCACACTTTTGGTCTGTGCATCAGCCAGCATGGGATTTAGAGTTAGTCCTAATTTGACCTTCTTACCAGCAGTCTTATCTAGTTGTTCTAATTCACAGAGCCCCTCTAACCTCTAACAAAAATGGAAATCTAATCATCCTTATTTGATATAATTGATGTGTGAAATTGGAAGAGTCCTCCATTCCAATAGCAGGTTCTCAGTAAATATTAACTAAGATGGATACAGGGGATGGACTTTTCCATGAGAACACAGAAGACATAAACCGTGCTGGAGTTACAAGGGTGGTGGCCCACACCTGGAATCCTCATATTTGGGAGGCTATAGCAAGAGGTTGGGAAAAGTTTGAGGAAAAATTGGGTAAATGAATGAGACCTTGTCTTAAAATAGCAGCTAGAAGCCGGTGGCTCATGCCTGCAATCCTAGCTACTTAGGAGGCTGAGAGCTGAGGATGGCAGTTCAAAGCCAGTCCACTCTAGTCTGATGGCCTTCCTACCACCACTCTCTCTTTGCTGAGGACTGGAGTCCATCTTCTTTATGTCCTCATGACCCCAAAGTTGTGGACCACAAACTACATGCCTGTAACCATTAATGGTGTGGTCCTGCCCATTAGAATTCCTGAAAACCAGGCTCAGGCTCTGAGTCCTAGGGTAAGGAATCCCAGTCCTATAGGTCTTTCCTTCCTTCCTTCCTTCCTTCCTTCCTTCCTTCCTTCCTTCCTTCCTTCCTTCCTTCCTTCCTCTCTCCTTCCTTTCTTCCTTCCTGTCTTCCTCCCCCTCCTTCCATCCCTCCCCTTCTCTCTCTCTCTCTCCCTTCCTTCCTTCCTTCCTTCCTTCCTTCCTTCCTTCCTTCCTTCCTTCCTTCCTTTCTTCCTTCCTTCCTTTCTTTCTTTCTCTCTCTCTCTCTATTTCTTTTTCTTTCTCTCTCTTTTTTGTCGGTCGTGGGGCTTGAACTCTGGACTTAGGGGCTGTCCCCACACTCTTCAGCTCAAGGTGAGTGCTCTACTGCTTGAGCCACAGCACCACTTCCTCTCTCTCTTTCTCTCTCTTTCCTTCCTTCCTTCCCTCCTTCCTCCCTTCCTCCCTCCCTCCCTCCTGCCCTCCTTCCCTCCCTCCCCTCTCTTTCTTTCTTTCTTTTCTCTCTCTCTCTCTCTCTTTCTTTCTTTTCTTTCTTTCTTTTCCTTCTAGAAGGTTTAGGTCAGATTGGTTTTCTGGATGGTGTCCCAATCAGACACTCAAAGAGGTGATGAAATTTTATCCTTGATCCTCTCCCCCCCGCTTTTTTTCCTACCAAGATGTCTTATTCTTGCTGCTGAAGGAGCCCAAGTCTCCCTCAGAAGGCTGTGTTTATCCTTCAGTGCCTGCCTTGCTAAACTCCCTCTCAGATTTCTCTGGAGGGAGGCTCCTGTGCAGATTGACTTAGAATAACCAATGGATGGGCATTGCCCTGCAGACATAACAGAGCTATGGCCACACAAGCCATCGTCCTGGGGCAAATTCATTGGAATGACTTGAGCCTGGGGACATGAGAATTAGTCTGCTACTATATACTTTTTTCAAAGTATGTCTTGGGGCGGGGTGGGCTTGGACACTTCACATCTTTGAGTTTCTCTTCTTTTCCATTTGAATTGGAATTTCAGCTCAGATTTCCAACTTGTGTTTACTAACCACACAGATTCTTTCTTCATCCATCTGTGTGGTAAGAATGATATTTCAGAGTGACATTGTCCAAAAAGAAATGTTTCATTTCCTGAAAAGGCAACCCCTGTGCACATCACCTTTTGTAATAGCAATAAAAAATACTTAATTTAAAAATAATATTTTAGCAACTAGCAGGAAGGGCTATTAGAAGAAATAAAAAGGAGCAATTTGTTCCAAACATTTGATTCATGATAGGCAACTCATAATTGTGGTATCTCTTACATTCTTTTTAGCCTCTTACTTGAACTCAGAGGTGTGCAGATCTGTTTTGGCTGTTCATTTATTCATTCATCAAACATTATCTGGTATCTCTAATGTCTGATTCCCTGAACTGAAGATGAGGAAGGAAACAAACTCTGGCCCACTAAAGCTTCTAGTCTATCATATACTCCAGCTTTTAGTTGTTATGAAATGTCTCAGGTGTCAGGCAAAGTTCAGAGATTTTTATTTCCTCTTACAGCTTTATGACTTTCAGACTGTTCCCTCAAAATTGCACTTAATTTTAACTTCATTAACTTCCTGTTCTGTCACAACAGTTGAACGAGGATTTCTCCATGAGCAGTATTCAAATCAGCTTTTAATGAGCTATTTAATTAAAGGCTAATTGAGGTGAATTCATTAAAGATTTCTAAATTATGCTTATCAGTGTAGCTATGTTTTAAGATAAGTTTTAAATATTTGTTTTATATTGCATTGTTTGATCATAAAAGTATGTATAAAAATTACTTTAAAAATTGCTAATTAGAATGTGGGTGTTTTTTTTTCTTTCTTCATACTTAAGTGGGATCCTTAGCAAACCAGCTTAATGTGTGCTCACTGTTGGGTTGAGATGATGAACCGTTACCCTGACTATGCTGGTTTGAGGCTCTGTTTGGTTTGTGAGAGATTTTCAGATCTCTTGAGATCAGATGTCATTGGATTGTCTTTGATTTGAGGCCCCAAACACCATGTAAATCAGAACTGGTTTGAGCAGGGTCTTCACCAAGCTCTGGTGACCCAAGCGCTATTTGACCTTCTGAGGAAGGGGACTGCACCACTGTGCTGTCCACAGCTACCCAGGCAATGAATATATGAAGCACGATCTGATCGTCCTAGATATACAAGAGGAGCCCTAAACTTTGGGACCCTTTCATTGAGAATATGTCACCAGCAAACATGCATTGAAAGTCTCCTGTGTTCTAGGTATCATTCTGAATACAGAGTAACTATCAGAATCACTTGAGGTCAAAACTGATTGAAAGAGATATGAGTCATTCAACATAGACAGTCATCCCCCACAATCTGTGATTTACTTTTCAAGGTTTTACTTTCCCATGATTAACTATGGTTAGAAACTATGAAGTGGAAAATCCCACGGTTTGTGATTTTTAAATTGTGCCCCATCTGTGGGGTAAGATCGTGTGTGATGTCCCCTCTTGTCCTGGTTTAGTTTGCCGTGGATGTCAATCATCCCCCTTGTTCACATATCCGTGCTTGTATATATTACCCAATCATCACTTAGTGCTTGTCTGAGTGCTTGTCTGTGGTGCTGTATTAAAGCAATCCCTATATATCAATCAAGTTCTACATCACAATGCTGCACTTCTTCTTATCCTGTGACATTGTATTGTCTCACATTGTAACAAGAACAAGGGTGAGCACATTGTAATATGGTAGTTGGAGGGATGGAGAAGACAGAGGAGGAAGAGAAAGAGGGAAAGAGAGGGGAGGAGGAGAAAGAGAAAGAGAACAGGGAGAAAATGCACATTCAGTTAATTTTTATTACAGTGTATCATTATAATTGTTCTATTTTATTATTTGTTGTCTCTCATTTCTGCCTGCACCCAACAGGAAAAATATTCCCTTCCCCCCACTTTTCCTTTTCATGGGGCTTGAACATGAGGCTTAAGAGTTGTCCCTGAGCTCTTTTTGTTCAAGGATAGCGCTCTACCACTTTGAGCCACAGCACCATTTTCTGTTTTCTGGTGGTTAATTGGAGAGTCTCATGGGCTTTCCTTCCACGAGCTGGTTTTGAACTCTGATCCTTAGATATCAACTTCTTGAGTGGCTAGGATTACAGGTGTGAGCCACCAGCACCAGGTTAGGAAAATAGTTCTGTAGGTAGATATACATATGCATGTACAATATGGTTCTGCACCTTCAGGCATCCAGTGTTATAATATTTCCATGAATGAGAGAGAGCTACTGTACCCTACACTGTGGTGTATTTGTACCTCAAGGCTAGGACAAAACCTCTTGAAAACTTGATCAGAGAAGAATGTCATTTTAGCTTAACCTGGGTCATCAGGAATACTCAGAAGATGGATGTTACTCTCAGCTTTGATGGAGAAGTAAGTGTTGCACAACAACAACAACAGCAGCAGCAGCAGCAACAAAGCAGAGAGCTTTATTGGAAGGCAGAAGAAGGCTGATGATTAGAAACATCAAGAATGGCATCTTCAGGAAGCTAGAGCAAGGGGGATACAAATGCTTTTCTTACATTCTGCTCCCTCAAAGCACACGCAAGAAGTCTTATTTGGCAGTTGAGAGGGAAGTACTGAGGATTTTTCTCTTTTCATAAAGAGGATTCCCCCAACACAAATATACCTACTACCCAGGGAATTCTCCTGTGATGTAGAGGCATAGGTTGATGACAGCCCTAATTTTATCACCATTAGGGAAAATCCAGACTTGTCACCATCACCATCAGCCAGGTTCATTCATTCAGTAGATTTCAGCAACTCATATATTCATTCATTTACTTTCTGATGTTACAGAGATGGCAATCTGTCTCCCAGTCGCCATCTTATGGCTCTTTCCTCCTCTCTGACATCACTTGCATCTTTCTTGGCTGGCCAGTCTCTCATTCCTAACTGGCCTCTCTCTCCACATCTACTTTTGGAATCTTAATCTCTTCTCCATACTTCCCTCAAAACATTGCTCTGAAAGCAAATCTGAAAGCATGATGACTGGTTTATTACCCACCAATGGATTTCATACATTGAGATGAGAGGATTCTACCCCCCTGGCCCTCTTGGAGTGTTATTGAATGAAATCACATCCTTCCAGAATTCCTATGTTAAAACTATACCTTGTGCTCACTTTGGCAGTGCATATACTAAAATTGGAGTGATAAGGAAAGATTAGTGTGGACCCTTTGCAAGAATGATACACACGTTAGTGAAATGTTACATATTTTTCTGTAACCCCTCTGTATCACCTTTACAGGAATTTTAAAAAACCCTAAATACACACACACACACACACACACACACAGATACACAAACACACACAGACACAGACACAGACACACACACACACACACACACACACACACATACACACATGAAACCCCATACTTCTATAACCTAAGAATGCAGCTATATTTGGAGATAGAGTCTTCAAGGACTTCAGAACTTAAGTAAAAGGAGGTCATTCAGATGGGCCTCAATCTGATATGATGTATACCTTTGTAAGAAGAAAGAAATGGATGAAGAGGAAAGGCTAATTCAAGTACAGTGAGTAAATGGCCATCAGAAAGCTGAGGAGAGAGGCCTAAGAACAACTTCTGGAATTGTGAGAAAATAAGTTTGTTGTTGTCTGAATCACCTGGTCTGGGGAACTTTGTGATGGTAGCCCTAGAAAAGCAACATATCAGGTTTCCCAAATACTCCAAGTTCTGTCACAATAAAATCTCTGGGCAACCAGAAGCAGTCTTCCTTCCTCTGCATCATAGCATGATTTCCTTCTCTTCCAGGAACATCTTTTTTATTTATTTTTATTGTAAAGGTTGTGTAGTGGAGTAACACTTGGATATTAAGTAATGGGTACAATTCTTTTTGAATGGTGTCATCTCTTTCCCTCATTTTCAGTTTTTTGCCCTCCTGAGCCCCTTCCCCCACAAGCTGTGCAGTTATTTTTCAATATAGTATCTAGTATCACTGCTGAATTAGTTCACCCTTTGTCCCACCATTTCTGTGCTTTGCCCTACCTGCCCCAAACAGATAAACTTACAGACAAGACAAAATGTACAGAAATCAAAAACAGTGACAAAAGGGAAAAACAAATAAAAAATAAAACAAAAAGCAGCACACAATTAAAAACCTCCTATTTTCATATCTTGGAGTTCATTTTGATAAACATCATTTTATATGATCATATGTACTTAGTTATTGAGCCTTTGTGATCCTCTCTTAAGAACATCCTCCTTTGGTCTCATTGTGTAAATGTTTAAGAGTCCTGTTTAATTTATCATGTCATGTCCCATTGTTAGTAGGAATGTAAAATTGTTCAACCACTTGGGAAAGCAGTATGGGGGTTCTTCAAAACACTATAACCTGGAGAAAGTTAAAATGTGTTTGTGACTTTAGCTAAGTATCACTATCCTACAATACTGTGAAATTTATATAATCAATCTCAATAAAGAAAAAAATAGAACAGAAAAAGACTAAACAGAGCTTCCTTATGACCTAGATGTTCCACTCCTGGGCATATATCCAACTGACCATAAACCAGGCCACACTAAAGCTACCAGCACAACTCTATTCATTGCAGTATTGTTTACAATAGTGAAGATATGGAATCAACCCAGATGCACTTCAGTAGATGAATGAATCAAGAAAATGTGGTATGTATACACAATGGGATTCTATATTTCCCTCAGAAAGAATGATATTGTACCATTCATAAGGAAATGGAAGGACTTGGAAAAATTATATTAAGCAAAGTAAACCAGAACCAAAGAAACATAGGTTGCATGATTTCCCTCATTTGTAGTAATTAGGATGTGCCTATAAATCTAACAATGGATGGTAAAGAAACAAAATTACACTCCAGAGATATCTGAATGCCATCTCTTCAGAGAAGCTTCCTGACTCAGAGCTGAATTTAGCCTTCTTCCTCCTCCTAGCTTCTCACAATACCTGTTCATTTCTTACAGTTTCCACAAGTGTGTACTAATCCAAAGCTCCTCCAGTACTTTAAGCTCTGTGAGGTCACAGCTTGGCCTGTTTTTTTTTTGTTGTTGTTGTTGTTGTTATACTCTGTGGGTTTTATATAGTGTCTAGATCATCACAGACCTTTTCTTGAGTTTTGGCCAAATTAAATGAACAAATGAAATATTGTTTAAGGAGTGCTCCATGCCAGTCATTAATCTGCCATGTAGAAGAGGGAGGATAAGCCACACTTAGATAGGACTGACATCAAACGAGTAAATACTATAAAGTATAATGAGTGCTGAGTCTGAGGAAGTACCCCAGGCTGTATAAACCTGTGCTAGAGAGGTTTTGCAGTGGCATGGGGAAGAGGGCACCCTTATTGAATTATTTCTGATGAGCTGAAATTGAGTGAAATAACAAGGTTCTTAATAAGCTGCTCTTTGTGAGTTTGTGTGTGTGTGTGTGTGTAGAAACAATTCAATCTACAATATGAGGGAATGTAGCTGAGCATCACACACCCTCCTAGCGACAAATCTGTGTGACTCTAATTCCCAGAGGTGTCACAATGGAGGTGGCACACAGCAGAGAATCCATCTTCTTCTTGCCAGCTCAGAGTTAAGGAAAAGAGGAGACCAGGGAGAATTTGCCACCTCTAGAGGCATATTGATTAGAAAGAACTGCCAAGCACCTTTCCATTTGCCTTTTTTTTTTGTAGTGCTTGGATTGGAGAAAGGAGAGAGAGTTCTAAATGAGAACAGCCCAATCATTTCCTCTAAAACCTGTTCCAATTTGTCTCCCTGCTCCCTGAAGTTACTACCTTGCATAATCCAGGAAGGGAGATAATCAGCTCTTTGAGTTACATCAGTTTTGCCTGTTCCCTTGATAAAAATGGCAAAACTTGTCTACAAAATCCTGGAGTTGATTATGGTGTCATTCTCTCTCCTCTTAAATCAAAGCCGTTTTATCTCCTCCAGTCTCACCAGGCTCCAAGAAACAACATCTTTGCTTCCTTTGGCTTTCAATTATTCATAGTCCTTTGCTGACAAAAAAACCCCCAAAAAACAAAAAACCCAGGCAGTGCAGTCCTTGGGTGAGTTTTACCCAGACTCTGCCAACTGTGTGCACCAGAACTGGGTTTCCATTGCCATCATTCACTAGCAAACAGGAAATGGCTACCCAAGGGAGGGCCTTGGTACCATGAAAGCACATTTTTGTCAGGGATACATATGGACGCACATTCTTACACGTGCAAGCCTTAATTGAAAAATAAAACAATTAGCTTCTAATACTTTTGAAGTAACAGAGGGAAGCACTTTTATAGGATGACTGAAGAGAAACAGCCATAGGTTACTTCGTGTTTTTTTTTTTTTTAATAAACACTGAGTTGTGTTCAAGATGAAGCTTATTAAAACATGAAAGGAGAACACATCAGGACACTGGAAAGCTATTCTACAGATTACTTGTGCGCTTCCTTGTTTCCTATTCCACCTTCAAAGGCAAAAGACAAGCTGGAGAAGAATTAGATATCCATAGATTAGGTGTGGGTTTTATTCTATCTCACGTGCTGGCCTTAGGAGACTACGTACATAGGGGCTTTTGAAATTACCAAGGAAAACACAAGGAGACTGGGTATGAGTTGGACAACTTGTCAGTCAATTTGGTAGACTGACATCGATGGAGCTCTGTAACTCATGAGAGTATCTCAGTGTGCTTCAAACCAGCTTCCCACAGTTCATCTTTTACTTCATTTTCTCTCTGCATGGGTGAAAAGATATATCTTGACATTCTACTCAAAACTCATCCAAGGACACTACAAATCTTCAGTCTGGCTTATAAACCTCTCTAAGAAATATTCTCCAGTTCTTAGCTGGGTTCATTGTATCTTATCTTCATCTCACCAGCAAGTGAGATGAAGATAAGACAAACACTCCTATATGTTTTGCTGATGTTATAACTCTGTGGCTTCCTACACACAGCTACCCTTATGCTTGGTCCTTTTACTTTTTTTTTTCCTTGATCAAGGCTTATGCTTTACCACTCATGCTATAGCTCCACTTCTGGCTTTTTTGGTAGTTAATTGGTGCTAAGAGTCTCTCAGACTTTCCTTCTCAAGCTGGCTTGAAACCTTACAAGCCTCAGATCTTAGCCTTCTGAGGAGCTAGGATCACAGGTGTGAGCCATTGGCATCCAGCAAAACAAAACCTCTTTTGTGAAGCTCTCAGTAAAGATAATTTGCCCCCTCCTTGAACCTGAGTTGGCTCTTTCCATATTTTTATAGCCTCTATTAGATGGGATGCCAATCAAAAAAGGATTTTCTATAAAGGAAAATGTGGACCCTATTGAGAACTGGGTGCTTTAACTTCCCTCCAAATATTCTACTAGGACTGTGATTCCTATGAGTTATTGTAAATATTTATTGGGATATTTGGTGAGCAGACCAAGTTTTGACATAGGTTTCTGGCATGCCCTGTGCACTGCTAGTATCTGCTGAATGAATTGTAAACCCATGAAACAGACCAGTACATACTGCTGTGTACTGGCCCTGAACAAGAGAAGGAATTGCTGGAAGGACAACAATGCGGAGGTAATGCTTGATAAGGAATGTACTCGTTATCCTGCCCATGTAATTGTAACTCCTCTGTATGGTATTCTCACAATAAAAAAAAAAGAGAGAGAAGGAATTGCTGGGATGTGGGTAGTTTTGTTATTGTCCTTCAGTCTCTAGCTTTCAGTAGATGATACAGTCAAAGGATATCCATGAAGCTCATTTTGTTACCATTTGTTTTGTTTTTATTTATTTAATTTTAATTTTATTTTAAAGGTAATGTACAAAGGGGTTACAATTACATAAGTAAATTTAATGAGTACATTTCTTTCTTTCTTTTTATTTTTTTTGTTGGTCGTGGGACCTGAACTCTGGGCCTGGGCTTTTTCTGCTTATGTGGTGCTGAGGAATCAAAGCCAGGGCCTCATGCATGCAAAGCAACACTCTACCATGGAGGCACCTTCCTAGCCCTAAGCACATTTCTTTTCGAACAGTGTTACCCCCTCCATTTTCTCTCACTCCCCCCGCAATTGTGTCCTCCTCAAGTTATAAAGTTCACTTCCAACATAGTTTCTAGTGAATATCACTGTTGCATTGGTTCACCCTTTGTCTCTCCATTTCTCTGATTCCCCTTCCCTTCTCCAAATCAGGTAGACTTATACACAAGACAAAGGGTACAGAAATAAAAACCAGTGACAACAGAGAATAGACAAAAGGA